GCTCATGGCCCCTGCAGACTGCATTGGGAGTTTTTTAGGGTTCTTCCCTAATCTCTGTGGTGCTATATTCTTTCTCATCCCTCTTTACAATAGTGAAGAAAAATTAGATTTTCCATCACAGGGATCACAACCACCTGCAAAGGCTTAAGAGGCTGTGCCAGTGCTGTCTAATACATGCTCTTCTATCTGCCACTAGATGAGGAGGTGAGAAAACCAGTGGTCAGTGAAATACCTGTCTTTGTTTTCTTACAAGGCAAGGTACTTAAGAATGAGTCTGGCTTTAGATATATGTTTAATCCCATTTTAATCATTGTGATTTAAGGCAGATATAGGCTGAAGTGCCTAGTTGATTATCAGGGTGGAGAGTGATACACAGATTTTGGAATAGATACATATAATGGATCTGTTTGCGGGGTTTTTATTATTGCTTTCTTTCTCTGTTGCCTTAAAGGTTACTCAGTGATGGTAATAAAAAGGCAAAATAGGAAGATAGTGCAACAAGCAAAAGCTCAGGAATATATTAAACACCATCGAGTCTGTCAGGAGTTTGGAGGCATTTTGGTGCCATTTGTATTTGCTCAGTAAAATGTTTTGCAATGATAATTTTGTAGAAAAATGCTGGGAATAATGATGGGCTAAAAAAAATAGCCACACAACAAGCAATGGAATGCAGTCTACCTCTCCAAATCCTGGGATGGTTCTAATGGGTCAGGTAATGCTGAGTACTCTTGAATTAAATGGATGGGTCAGTAGGGGGAACATTGGCAAGCTGTTGACATAAAAACCAAAGCAGAACAAAGGCGTGGGGCAGGGGCCACAGTCTGACAGATTTTACATGACTTTCAGTTACTTAACAGGTAACGGCTCTAATCACAGTGCAGACCAGACTCATTCCAAAAAAGCCACTGTTGCAACGTAGGATTATTCCGTATCCGGACTGCGGAGATTTTCACGTCTATGTTTCATTTCATCCTATGAAAGAGAAAGGGGGAAAAAAACAAAAACAAAAACAAACCTCTAAACATTTATATAGTTCTTTTTTCTTAAATGAATCAGTCTTGCCAAGGCTGAGTTTTGTATTTGTTTATGCATATTTTCAAGGCTTAGATAAAAGAGCACTTATTCAGTCTACCATCAACACATTGCTGTGGTGTAAGGGGGAGGGAAGGGAACCCTCAGCATATATGGAGAATATATAAAGATCTGAATCACATGGGTGTTCTTTTATTTGCAACCATCATTTATTTTCTATTTAAAAACAAATTAAATAGGAAATGAAAGAAAACATAATACAGATCTGGTTTTCTCTGGTTGAGAAAATGGTAATTAAAATAGTGAACATCTGCATGACAGGATATTTCTAAAAAAGGAACTGTTCCTGGATTGTTACATATTTTGATTTTTAAAGAAATGCAAGGAATTTAGGACCTCAGCAACCACTGAATCTGTGTAAGATCTGGATGCCTAATTCTCTTCTGTGCCTCCCTGGAAATTACCCACGTGGCCTCCATGTTTCTGGTGGTGTTGGTGCTATTCAAGGAGCCCAAGCTCACCAGCATGAAAGCTGTTGATATTCCCCATTGCAGCAAAAAACTGCCAGTGTGTTCTGGCTTTGACAAAACATTTTGCTACGTAACACACTGCTGGGTGGGATGTGCATTTTTTATTCTTGCACAGAATCTGTTACAATAAGCACTGTTTGCAACTCTGTGATTAATGACTTCTGTCTCCAGTGCTCTGTACAGCAGCACAACTTGTGAGAGAGTCCAATAATTTCCTGAAGACACGTTGTCACAATGAGACACTTTTTCAGTTATTATGTGGCTTTTTGCACTCTGTTTTGGTATGAACAAACAAATGTTTATTCCTTTTATACAGATTTTGTGCGCACACCTCATTATTCTAACTTACAGATGCAGGTATAGTTTTGCCCACAGAAAAACCAAACTCATAAATACTGATAAAATAAGGTAAAACAAAGGCACCCCAAACTCTCTGGGTGGGAACTGTTTAAACAGAAGCTGAATTGCACCAAATTCAGATTTTTTATTATTTTAAAATTTACAATTTGTGTGTGTGTGTGTGTGTGTGTGTAGGGGAGGATAGTTTTGCAAAAGGCAACTATTATCAAGGTGCTGAAATTAATTGGTTGCTTTAATTGAGGTAGATTACTAGCTAATGCTTTCTTGAATACAGTAATTCTCCTATTAAATTATCTTCGAATAATTACCTGAAATTTCTCAGCTGCAGGGACTGATGGCTATTTAATTGCACAGTGATGTTGCTATATAATTACTTAACAAGGTGTCCTTTAATAGTTTAATTCCCCTTTTCCAAGGGAAAAATAAAAACCTACAGATACAACTTCTATTTTTTAAGTGTTGTGATGTTACTTGGGTTTGGTTTTGAGGTGTTTGGGGTTTTGGTTTGTTTTTGTTTTTTGAGATAACTAAAGCTGAATCAGTAAAAGAAAGCTATTTGTTGGCTTGCTTTTAAAAATAAGCCCTTTTCTCAAGTATAGCTTTGGAATGAGAAGTGTTTTGAAACTCAGGAGTGTTGAGGCATCCCTTTGCTTTCAGTGGATTTATTTTGGGTTTCTATGGCATGTTTTACATTATGCTTGGAAAGAGACATTAGAAGCTTAGGTCTGATATGGGAAGACTTAACTACGTTTTTGCAGAGTTTTGTGGGTAAGGAGTTATCCAGTTAATGGTGTATCCTGTGCTGAAGCAAAGCACGTTGACCAGGATTTTAGGCCTTTATTTGTCCTGGACACAAAGTGTAAGTCTTGCTACTGGGTCCTATCAGCTGAAGAAAGCGAGTGGAGAAAACAGCCATTTGTTGAAAGATTTTCTTTTGAATCTGTGTGTGTACAGATCTGCTGGACCTGTAGATTATCCCAAAAGATGAAGTTCTGAGCAATACCTGTGGTCTATTTAAAAAGTGGGGGCTTTTAAATTTCTCTTTTTAAACAGTAGATGCACTGACCAGTGACCTCTAGATGTGTTCCACGCAGCTTCCATGCTGAGACACAGAGGGAGCCATCCACAAACATCCCCACCCAGAGCCTGGCGCTGCTTTTCAGAGGCTTGAGGCTTTCAGTCTGGATCTGCCAAGTTCCATCCTAAACATCTTTCAGTGTAGGCAGAGGTCTTTACAAACAGGTCGATGAGACTATGCAGAATACATACCATGTGGTCAGTAACATGCGTTGTGAACCACTTCAAAGAATTCCAAAATGCCTCTTTGTATATGCCACCTTAGGGCTAGCAGAGAACAATCAAACCAGTATTGTAGAACTATTGATCTCTCCACAGGGATGGGTTTTTGGACACGTCTCCTTAGGATGAAAGCAACGCACCAGTGACGGCAGATTACAGCGCACGTAGCCCAGGCTGCCAGGGATGAGGGATGTCATGCTACAGGTGTTATCCCATGAACGTACAGTTCTTGATTCAATCATCTAGGGTTATCTCCATCTTATCAGAAATAAACAGCACAAAATTTTTTTCTATGTCCATCAGTCTGGAAAGCCTGATATGTAATATTCATTGCCTGAATTTTCAGCAGTGTTCAAATTCACAAGATGGCCAATGGAGTGTTCAGATCAGACACTTAAGGCTGGATTTTTTAATTACTGTAAACTGATGCAGAGCTGTTGACTGGATGCAGTTTCTGTCAATTTGCATAAATAAGGTTGAAAATTGCAAGACACTCCTGAGATATTTTTCCCTTATGCTTCAGTTGGGGCATAAGAAAACCATGAAAAGGAAAGAAATGTTTCAGCACTCATTGCTTGTGTCGGCATGAATCCATCCTCCTTCTTCTGACTTCTTAGCAGTTAATGTGGAACAGACAATCTTTCTTCCTTGGCCATGAGAAGGTTGGGGCCTTTGTCTTCTATGATCTAAAAAACGTGTTATCTTTGCAAAGTGCCACTTGTGCCAGAGGATGGTGGCCCAGGCCACAGGTTAGCCTAGAAGAATCCATGCAGGAGATGAGCATGAGCTGAGCACATGGCTGCTGCTCGCAGGCGAACAGCTCTGGTTCTCTGTTAACAGGGAGCCCTGCGTGGCCCTGGATGCTCATCCTATCATCGGGGGGTTTGCAGTAATACAGGGGAACAAAATGTGTTTGCAAAGGCCTGGTAATGGGACTGGAGCCCAGCTCTGGTAGATTCCGTACAGTGGTTTGCTATCCTGTCTAGACATGAGGATAGAAATAAAAGTTCCTGAGGTGAAATACTGCTATCCTGAAGCACCTTCAGCCTACTGGAGGTGCATAGAAAGGTGCTGTAAATGGAAAGACTAAGGGATGTATTACTAGTCACTTCTCCAGAACATTTCCAAGTCTCCCAGAAGTCACTTCTCTTGCTTTTTCACTTCTTCTCCTGCTTTCTTCCTTTGCTTTGATCTCCACTTGTTCTTCATCTCTTTCTTCCCCCATCCAAACCCTCCCTTTTCATTCCCCACCCTTTTGACTTCACTCCTCCCCTCACTTATTCTCTTCAGTGTCGCAGCAGTGGTAGTCAAAAGGAGAAAGGCATGGAATTGTGTGTTACTAAATGGGTGGCGCTGATGGAAAATCAGGAAGGAGGAAAAGAAGAATTAATTATCCTTAACATAAGGGTTAAGAAATTTTTCCAACTAACACTAATATCTGAAGATATCCTAAATTTGTGAGAAATGTGAACTTTCCTTCTTCCTTCATCAGATGACTGTAGCTAAAGTGTCAGAAAAGGAAAGAGAGGGCCAAACCTTGTATCTTTATCCCTCCATTCTGTAAGTAACCTGTAAAGAGGTTTTTTTCCAAGGTTGCTGAGCATCTGCTGATTCACTGCTACTTAGGAAGGATGGGGTGTAACTGTAATCTGTTACTTTGAGACCCTTCTATGAAAGATACGAAACAAGCACAATTTGTTGTTGCAAGGAGGCAGTTTGTATAATCACTCTCTGACCAGAAGACCAGCCATTAATTTTTGGTTTCTCTGTTTCTTGCAGCTGATAAGGAGAATATGCCAAGTCAACCAGATAAGTCAGCACAGGCAACATAAAGTGAGTTTGTTTGCTTTTTTTTTTTCTTAATGTTCGTGCTCCATGAAAACTTACTGCAATATTGCTTACAATTATAAACACAGAAAAGGGCTACTAAGATTTTCTTACATTTCTATTTTAAACATGGCTGTGTATCCACTTAGTGAAGGAGTGGATGGTTAAGATTCTGAGTTTGCTCTTAAACAAAATAGTTTCTATGTCTTTTATTTTTATCAAAGGCTGATGACATGCATTAACAATGGAGAATACTGATAAAATCTTATCAGCAGTGATAGCCAAAATCATTTCCTCGTATTAGCAGAATGTGTATGTCTGCACTGGGGTGAAGACACCCTGACCACTCATCAATGCAAGCAAGATTTTGAAAGTTAATTCTTTCTGCCCTGGAGTAGAAACACATCAAACATTGTCTCAGTGTGTATGGGCAGGTAGTGTTGATGTGAGCGTGCCGGCTTTTAATTTTAAATCAGGAAGAGTACTGATAATATCCCAGCAACCTATTAGAGAATTAAAAATGTCAATTTCAATTGCAAATTCATTTTACTTGGAGGGATATGCAGACACCTAGACCTTCTGTAACCCTATGCAGTGCTTGGCATCTGGAGAATGATTTTCTGAAATATGGGGGGGAATCACAAAAGCGCATAAAGTTGGTAAGAGTGATTTTGTGTTCCCTCATTTTGTATTATTTCATACAAAAAAAATAACTAGAGAAAAAGATTGTGGTATTTTTTCTCATATTTTGTCATTACAGCTGTGAGATTTGATGTAATATTTACAGAAATAGTTATGTTTGAGTTGCAAGAGGTGGATTTTGTGCTAGGACCATAGAGTAATCATGTGGCTGCTCTGAACCATGCGATAATGAGGAGGGGAGCAGTGGTTTATCTTCTCTACTCCTTTAATACCTAATTTCCATTTCTCCAGAAAAAAAAAAAAAGAGTTCTTGAATCTAAACTTTGCAGCTCTTGACCTTTTCCTGTCTCCATAACATTATACAGGAATTCATGTGTGGATCGTGTGTCGTGTCTGGGTGTTAGACCAAGCTATCACATACCACGTAAGGGGTGCACCCAGTGCCATGTGCTGGCTTTGCTGGTCTCCTCACCTAGCACATCTGTGCTGTGCAGGCACAGCTGGGGGGCCATACTGAGGTGGCTTGTAGGCACGAATTGCTCTGCTGAATACCTCGTCCCTCTACTGTTGTGCAACACAAGGTCTCTTCCCTGTCAGGCATCTCAAATACCAGTGTGGTGGTTCATAGGGTCAGCTCTAGCATCTGGGATCCTGAAGCAGGAGAGGAGCCTGAAGCTGCTCCATCACAAAATGTAGTCAGTTGTGTGTAACATGGAGTGTAGAGTGAGCATGAATTCATCAATTCATAGCTCATGAGTCTGGAAATCGTGCTAGCATTTCTTCAAAAGGGTGTGTTTGTTGCTGTGCTTTGTCCAGATTAATCTGCAAATGTGAATGAATGTCAAGATATGAGGTCACTGATGAAGGAGAAGTCTTACAGTTCAAGTTTGGCAAAAAAATATTATTCATAAAGCTTGGCTTCAGAGTAAAGCATTTCAGCTGTATTCTCTTCATCCTTCTTGTCATGCTGTAGAAAAAAAAAAAAGTAGATCTTGATTAGCTGGTTGTACATGTGGGTGCTGTTAATCATGAGCAACCAAGACTTGAGGGATAGTGGCAATCTTTCAGTGCGCCAGGTATCACATCACAAAAGTTATCTTTGACAAATAGGTACATAAGTTAATAATATTTATGATGATGGCACTGTTTTCATAAGGAGTTTTTATTCATATTTGGTGTGTAAGTCTGCAGTTTTGGATATTTTATGTCTCTTTGAGTAGCTAGAAGTCAGTTTGTTTTGGTCTGGAAAAACTGTGGAGTGCTAGTACTTGCTCCTCTGGTGGTACTTGGGTGAGAGGAAAACAAACTTGGGTCATCAGAAAGGTCAAGAATTAAATATTTTCTAGCAAGACTCCTGTATACAAGGGGTTTAAACATTGTGGCAATTATATCTGATATCAAATTCAAAGGTATGCACATATCCCTTATTGCTAAAACCAGTTAGAAGGATTGCTCATTAGGTCTAGGCTTCAGCACTAGAAAAAGGCTCAGAGCAAAATTACAGTTGCAAGTAGAATAATTTCAATTAATTACATTGGATTTAACTCTCATCCTTTGGATTACACACGTTGATCTGGGTTTTCTTTTATGGAGATCAAGAAAAAGAGAAAATATACTCTTCCATTCCATATCAAGGTGTACACAAGTTTCCTTCCCTTTCTCAGCCTTTTGTGATTCTACTTCATGTCCTCCTCTTTCCTTTTCCTCAATCCTATAGCTTTCTTCTGTTTCACATTCCGGATGCTGGGTATCCACTTCCCAGTAGCAAAGGAATAGTAACCTTGTTTCTGACTGTATGGTGAACTTTCAACTTCTCTTTATCTAAATGAGAAGAGAGATTTTTCTCAAAGTAGTCATAAAATATTCTGGCTTTAGTCTAGATTTGCCTCATCTATTTAAAGAATAAAGATGAAAACGCAAGCTATGCATGTGAAGTTTACATTTTCATGTGAAACTATTGTATCTCAAGTATACAGTCATTACAAAAAAGAGCAATGTAATTACTGTCCTTGAGCCATTACCCCCAAAGTTTCCTATGGTATTAGACTTTTGCTTCCATCTAATGACTCTCAGATGTCTACATTAGATTGTGCTTTTAAATGCTGCTGTTTATTAATAACAAATGGGAGCTTTTTTCTTTTGTGGTTGGGTAGAATTGGTACTGATGACAATGTGTCCTGCATTGAGTCTAACTGCTAATATGATGCAAGTGAAAACAGTCCTTTAAAATTTATCAAACGTTAGTAGATCTTTCCATGAGAAGTTCCACTTACCTTTATTTTAATGCATTCCTTCTGAAACCATGAACATCGACGTTTTTGTTCTGAAAATCGTTTTGGTTGATGCTATCGTGAGTACACTGAAAATGGTGGTGGCCATCCTTGCCCCTGGTTGGAGGCTGCAGTGGGGCCGCAGCCAGGAGGGGGCACACGGAGCAGCTCTTCCTCTAGCCCTGCAGAAGCAAATGGCATCATCAGGAAAAAATTATGCAGGGCTTCAAACAGTACCTTTTTATAGCACTTCAGATGCATCAGTGAGATAGTGGCAAGGAGGGAGAGCTGCACTGTTACATAATCAAAGAAAGACATTTTAATTTTTTTTCCCTCACGTCTTTTTTTGTGTTTTGTGCATCATAAGTCTACAAATGGTACTTAAGACATAAAAAAGCCAAATTAGTTTTCCTGTGAGTATAATAGAAATCATTTTTGCTAGACTTTTATTAAAAACAAAAAACCCCTTTGTTTCTTTAGCATTGCGCACCTGCATTAATGCAAAAGGTTGTTCTGAATGCTGCTGGTAAGCTCGCCTTGCTGGTAGGTGGAAACTCATCTATGGGTCCTGAGGATCTAGATCACGGCAACTGCTAGGTATGACATGTTTAATCTTGGGTAAGACTTGCAGCACTCTGGGCAATTAAGTGTCTGTGTGCACCAAGTGTGTACTCAACTGCTTGTATAATTTGCATGAATAGCTGGTTGCGCGCATAAGTACATAATTAATTAGCTGCCTGTGCTATTAACTGCTGTGGACGTACAGCTATGTCTGTTTTCTTTTTTAGGAGCATTTGTGAGGGATTTTCAGCGCTTGCAGAATACACAAATAGATAAGGAATCATAAATACAGCATTTTGTATGTGCAAGTAGGATCCATACAGAGTTGTTTTCCTAAACCAGTAGCTATTTAAAAATAGTAATTGCAAAAGATTTGAGAATGGTTTTCAGTAAATTTATCTTCATTCTGACTTGTCCATCCAGCCATGCACCTTCAGCTCGGGTCTTTATGCTGTTTAACCCTCGGTACCAGTTTTAAAGTGCAGTTGTGTATTGCGTGTTCCAACTTGGTCACACAGCCCGTGCTTCAATACATGACGTGTTTGGGGGGGTAAACAAGAGTCGGTGCAAGTTAGGCCCATGCCCTTGCTGCTTTTTGGATCGGGTTCATCAAACCCAGCAGGGCAGGTCGCTCGCACAGCGCTCATAGAGGCTCTTCCCTGCGAATGAATAAACCATTTATAATTGTATTTTCTAAAGTGCACAGACGCCATAGATGGCATGAGATTTTTTTTTTTTCTCTGAATTGGGTTCTTTGTGCTGAAATGTGTAGTTAGCACAAATATTCATCCTGTTCTGCTGTATAAGCTGAAAGGGTCCAGAGGAAGCAATGAATGCGCAAGTCACACTGACATTTCACTCCTCAGTCCTTTGCCCTGATATTGTAACTTCCCTGTTTCTCAGCAAAGGCGTAAGGGGAACATATCCAGCTAATATGTGAAAGAATTTCAACTTTTCAGAAGTGATAAAATTCAGGGCTTAAGATGGTGGTGTTTTGTCAGTTGAATTCGCTGTTTCTTTTTGATATTGGTGAGTTTCAGGAGCGTGAACCTCACGCAGCTATGAAGCAGTAAAGATGTGTGTAGGCTGCTTATTTGTTGAAAACCAACAGCGAGTGCTACAGCACTTAGAAGGGAACTGTAATTGCTCTAAGCTTTTCTCTTCTGGGGTGTGTAGAACTCTGATCTTCATAATCCTGGGCATTGAGAAACTGAATAACAGTCGTCTTGTTTAAAGTACAGTGAAAAACATCAATTGCATCTCTCCTCCCTGACTCTTACCCTGGCAGTTTTGCCTTGAAAAGCAATTTTCTTGCAGAACTACTGACATATTAGTATCCTTAAAATTAAGATGCTGATACATTAGCCCTTGAAATTCTGGAAGAGATTAGCTACAAATTCTCTTCTTTGAATAGGTTCTATGAATATATGAATTGTGGCAGAATGCTTCTTGTATCAAAATTTAGCTTCAGATTAATGTAACTCTAAAAATCAACATCTCTGTGAAAATCTGCATACTGCTCATAAGAGATAC